AAAAAGTACTGGAAATGTAAAGCTTATCAAGAAATATGAGACCCCTACCCTCATAGAACTTACTCCCTCTGTGGAAGAGGGAGAGATGTGATGTGCATGCTTAAGATAAGAGGTTATCAATACAACACAGATCAAAGCTACACAGAACAACATGCAGTAACACAGCTGGAACCAGAGTGAAGGCTAGAAGGTATGAGGCAGAGCACTAGGCACACTGATACAGGCTAAACAAATCAATAACCATCTTTGTACCAACCAGGAATCAATGCTTTCTTTACTCTACCAACCAATATGAGGTAGTATCTACAAATAATTTCTTGGACCTTTCATTTTTATCATTCTGACCTCTAAGAGATTGTCCAGAACATGATGAAAATATATTTATTCCACAGAGAAAAGCATGGAACCAACCAATGAAGATATCAATAAGTATAGTTGTTGCCCAGTTATGACTACAAATTAAAACAAGAACAGAATAATATCTGGACTCCCTCTTTACCTTTGCCTTTTTGTTAACAGGCAAAGATGAAAAATCAGTTGGTTTTATTTCATTAACAGTTGTTTCTACTTCATAGCACTTTTCTTTCAAAATATTTCCATATCTACCATCCAAATGGGAGCTCTGGTAGCATAGTGCCTAAGGCATTTGACTGCTAACCAGAAGGCTGGCGGTTCAAACCCACCAGCCACTCCTTGGAAGGAAGTTTGGGCAATCTCCTTCTGTAGTGATACTCCCTCGGAAACCCAAGGAGGGGTTGCTATGGCAGTGGGTTTGGGTTTTTTTTGTTGTTGTTGTTTTTCTTTTGTTTCCTTTGTAAAGGGCCTTGTTTTCCATATTCATGCTCCCCATTAACACTCAGTATACAGGAGTAATCTCTCCTTGTTTTCTTAAGCATATCATCTTAAAGATAAAAGGAGACATTATATCTTATTCCTTGCATTTTGGTGTCCCCTTCTATATATTTTTTTTCCCGTTGCTGTAATCCTCCAATAAAAGTATGTTTTTTTTTTTTTTTTAGGAGCTTGTTTTACATTCAACGTTATGTGTACATTTAGTTTCACTCCCCATTTATCATGTCCAACCCTAACCCAGTCTCCTCACCCCCTATCCAGTCACCCCAACCCTGCACCCCTCATCGTTATCCACTCCTATGTGTCCTGCATTTCCTCAGTGTGAATGTTGCCCCTCTGGTGCCCCATGATCTATTGCTCTAAGGGATGTATTACCATAGGGTATGGTAATACATCCTGGGTTGAGTGGTCTGCATGGTCATCTTGTTAACTATTGCGCTGAGAGCCAGCCCCTGGGAGTAAGTTTTATTCCAGGTGCAGGATGTATTCCAGGCCCATAATATTGGGGGTCTCATCAGACTCCATCTGACCAGTAATTCTGGTCATTATTGAGTTTTTGGATTTTGTTCCATGGTTTTCCTCCTACTCTATCCAGGATCTCCAGATTTGATCCTTTCCTGAGTGGCTTGCATTGATAGCTGGGCACCATTTAGTGCTTCTGGTCTCAAGGGCAGACGTGTCCTAGGCCTGATTGTTTCCAAATGCCCTTGTTTTTTGCACTGTTCTTCGCTTCCGATGCTAGGAGACCATTAGCTGCATCTTAGATGGCTGTTTGAAAGCTTTTAAGACCCCAGTTGCTACTCACTAATGTAGGATGAGAAACAAGGCTTTTATGTATTTTGTTGTGCCAATTGAGTCTGGTGTCCCCAGTACTATGGTCTTGAGATGGTAGATCTACTGGATCTTTCTCCCACAGTGTCTGGGTGTCTGTGAGGGATTGGTCTATGTCTGTCTTCTGTTGTTTCTGTAAGGATTGCAGGTATTTTATATTACTGGTGTCTGTGCAAGATTAGCCTCTGCTGAATCTATCCTTGGTCTAGATTATACTTCTGTTCATTGATCTCCATCTGATCCTCTCAGGGGTTTATGTGTTTATCTGTAGCCTGGTATTTGGTGTTAATGGTAATACAGTATTGTGGACACATTGGTTGGTATCAAAATCTGTCATCTATTCCTTATGTGCACAATTCGGTGTCTTCTCATTTCCTAATGTTATCATGGTAGTCACAGATTCTTTCCATATATCACTCCCCTTACCCACATCAGCATGTTGGTCCCAACTAGCCCAAAATTAATCCCTCCCCTTCCTTCCCCATCCCAGTATGCTACAAAGTGAGTTCCCTTTCCCAAGCAAACCCTTCTTTGTCTTTGTATAGTAATGGGCTCATACAGTACTTGTCTTTCTGTGATTGACTTATTTCATTCGGCATAATGTCCTCCAGGTCCATCCACATGAGATGATTCACATTTCCCTCATTGTTCTTTAATGTAGCACAGTATTCCATTGTGTGTGTACCATAATTTGGTTACCCACTCATCTGTTGATGGGCATTTAGGTTGTTTCCGCCTCTTTGCTATAGTGAATTGTGCTGTGATGAACATAGGTGTACATATGTCTGTTCATGCACTCTCTCTCACCTCTTTAGGATATATTCCTAGTAAAGGAATTGCAGGGTCAGATGGTATTTCTACTTTCAGGTTTTTAAGGAAATGCCATATCATATGCCACAATGGTTGTATCATTTTACAATCCCACCAGCAGTGCACAAGAGTCCCAGTCTCTCTGCAACCTCATCAGCATTTGTTATTTTCTGACCTGTTGAACTTTGCTATTATTGCTGGGGTGAGATGATATCTCATCATTGTTTTGATTTGCATCTCTCTAATGACTAATGATTGAGAGCAATTTCTCATGTGTTTGTTGGCTGCCAGTATATCTTCTTTGGTGAAGTGTCTGTTCAAGTCTTTTGCCCATTTGTGAATTGGGTTGT